GTGTCAGAGGAATTCTGGTGGCCCCACCTATATCGGTGGGTGGCCAACTATATTCGCTCTTGCGAAGAGTGTCAGCGCATAAAGTCTGCACCTACGAGCAGTGCGCCACTGAAGCTACTGCCGATTCCAACGGATTGTTAGAATTCGGTCAGTTTGGACTTCATGTTTGGCGTACCGCCTGACCATAAAGTCAGGACGGGGCTCGCTGGATTTGTAGACCGACTGAGCAAGATGGTGCATTTAGCACCATGTGGCACCAAGGTCTCAGGAAAAGAGGCTGCTCTCTTGTTTCTGGATCATATGTACCGACTACACGGGATGCCTGAATCCATAGTATCGGATCGGGATCCGCGTTTTACGTCAGGTTATTGGCGTCATGTGTTTTAGTTTCTTGGTAGCAAGCTCCACATGTCAACAGCTGATCATCCCCAGACGTATGGCCAAACGGAACGAGCCAATCGAGTCGTGGCGGATGTGTTGCGCACAAAAGCGACTCCTTAGGAATGGAGCAAGCAATTGCCATTCGTGGAGCTCGCTATTAATAACAGTGTTCACGCCAGTACGGGTGAAACACCGTTTTATATTAGCGGTCTGCTCCATCCTCGGACGCCAGTCTCGTTTGTGCGCAGCCCGAGTCTTAGTGGAGGAAAGCCCCTCACTTGGCTCGGTGCGAATGCCGAAGAGGGTCAAAATTGACCTAGTGACACTGCTAATTTATTAGTGGTCACGACACATATAGGTGTCAATGAGGAGTCACGGCAAGAAATGCCTGTGCTCCTTGACGATGACACTATCGTGTTATCAACAGCATCGACCCATGACCGATCTCTTGGGGGTGCCATAAGCAAGCTGGATGCTAAAATCGTGAGCGAAGCTCAGCGCTTCGTGGATGAGCGATTAGCCGTCACACGTAAAGTCCATGACGCGATGGCAAGCGCATATGACAAGCAAAAAAAGCAATATGCGGACGAACATGGTCGTAAAAACAATGACACTTTAGTGTTGGGGGCAAAGTGCTATTAAGTACTGACTGCTACCTACCTAAACATGCAATTTCTGTACTACCTGGGGGTACTACAAAGATATTGCCCCGATTCATTGGGACAATTAAGGTGGTCGAGGAGGTTGTAGACCTAAATTATAGGCTCACTCTACCACCGTATATGAAGACGCACCCCGTATTTTACGTGAGTCGCCTGAAACGGTATGTGGATCCACAAGAGATCACATATCCGCATCAGTCTAACGAGAACGATGGTGACGTCGACTGTGAGTCGAGCTTCGGTGCCGATCAGGTAACGGGGAAGGTGAACGACTTCCCGTGTACGAGGGAGATGACAGAGGACTCGGTGATCGAGGAGGACTCCGAGCTGGACGCGGTCCTCTCATCACCATTCGCTCATGTAGGTCCAAACGGGTCTTGAGGCGTTCATACCCCTGACGATCTCTCGTATCACAGAGCGTAGATCCGAATTCAGTCGCTAGACTTGACTCGACAGATCAGACGCTTCTTTCTTCAGCGCAGCGATCTCCGCCTGTGACTGAACGACAACAGGATAGGCAGCCGCAAATAGTTGGGCGTAATCGCCGCTCCTATCGGGCGCCACCTGTGTTGGTGGATGCGGGTGGGAACACACTCTCCCTTGTTGGAAGGTTGTTGTCTCACCGCCATGTGAAGCAAAAGCGTCATATCCTTGTTCAGTGGAAGGGATACCCGAAGAGCTTCGACTCTTGGGAACCGGTTGACGCGCTGCGTGTCGACGTGCCTGGGCTGGTGGCTGCTTACGAGCAGAGGCACCATCTGCATTCGCTTTGATAGGTCCTGATGGACTAGCAGGGGCAGCGTAGCGAGAAGGAGTTGGGGGTATGTTATCACCCAATATCTCCCTCGCACGCGTCATAGTGAAGCTGATTCGCTGCGACCGCTGTTTCACTGCATCTACATGCTGTTTAACACGGCGCAGACACTCTCCCTCGTATTCGTCGGTTGTGTCATTCGAACGCAGCACGACGGGAATACGACCTAGTGCTATGCCCTCTTTTCCATAATGGAAAAATGCTAAAAAGTCTATTAGTGTCAATAGTGGCACGCCTTAAAAGCGTCACTCTATTTAATCGCCAGCGTGGCCACTCGGATGGCGGTGGCATCGCTGGCAAACCATCACTCACGTATCCGCCCTCGCGACGGCGTGCTAGTGAGGCCGACTGTGAAGTCGAAGGAGCTTTTTGGTCACCCTCGCCTGAGTCTGACTCTCCATTATGGATTGTCAAGACTGCAGAAGTAGGGTTAACAGAAGCGGTCAATTTAGAATCGTCGACCTGCTGTTGAGCTGCGGCTGCTTATTTCGAAGCAGCTCGCTCAGTTATGGTCGCTGCGCTCGTTGGCGCAGACGACGAGGCATGACCCTCGCTATCAGGAAGCATGGAAGCTTCCTGAAGGTTGGGTGTCTCAAATGATGGGGACAAATGTCCCATCAAAGCACTGTGCTCATAACAACTTCGGGGTGATGGCAATGGCGTACTCTCATTGTAGTCAACAATGCGAGAAAAGCCTTAATCCGCACCGTAGTGGGATGGATCAGTGTTCTCTGCTGACAAACTGACATTAGATGTCGGCGTTATCACAGAGACACTAAGCGAATTATCGCGGCGCGTGCAATTTGAGTTGGTCTGCATGGGCGCCTTTGCAGGCGATCCATCAGCCTTTTCACGTTTCGGCGGCATCGTCTCTTTTCGATGTTTACAAAATGTATAAAAGCATCTTAAAGAGAGGGATGGTGTAACGGGCTAAAAGTTACACGGTTCGTTAAGTATTCGATACTTAACGGCAGGCCAAAATGGATACGAGGTACCTCAGACCTTCCACTTGGGTGTGGCACATCAATGTCACCCACCCTCGTGAATGTGATATCCATGGATGGATTCACATTCAACGGGGATGACGCCAGTTGGGACTGGGCTTCATGGTGACGCTTCAAATAGACGTCATCAGCGAGCTTAGATATATTTTAAGCTCGCACGGAAGGATACGCTTTTAAAGAGACGCGTATCCGATCATTGCATAATTAGCCAATCAGTAGTTAAGTTTATATTTAGGTGAAATCTATTAGATATAAGTGAGTTTTGAATTTACTAACTATCGCCCACGACTGCGCACGAGAAGCTTAATAATCTTCTGCGTGACGTGAGTGAGGTACTACTTAGTGGCTAGTTGCGCGGACCACTCTAAGCGGCCGGCAACAGATTGATTCGGCGCTTTAAGCGACCGACCAACGCAGCCACCACCGCACGCGGAGGTAAGACGGTATAACCGCTTCCTTACGCTACCCGAAGGTGTGACCGCGTAGTACGTGGCAGCTTCTCTACGAAGCGCGCGTCTACACCCTTTCTCTTGCCAAGTTAATTCGTCTGCGTACTTAGCCGCAAATCAGGATGACAGTCGAGGCGATAATGATTATCAAATGACTTCAGATATTAGCATTGTACAGCTTAGTCTGATTACAGCGAACCATTTCGCCTCCACAATGAGCTGAGCAATGGTTAATACTTTTCTTAGCAATTAAAAGACCTAATGCAGAGTCATTCAGGGTACGCATATATCCGCAACGTCGGACCCACAGCGTTGGACCCACAGCGTTAAGACCCACAGCGTTAAGACCCACAGCGTTGGACCCACAGCATTGGACCCACAGCATTGGACCCACAGCATTGGACCCACAGCGTTAAGACCCACAGCGTTGGACCCACAGCATTGGACCCACAGCATTGGACCCACAGCGTTGGACCCACAGCATTGGACCCACAGCGTTAAGACCCACAGCGTTGGACCCACAGCATTGGACCCACAGCATTGGACCCACAGCGTTGGACCCACAGCGTCAAGAGTCAATTCTTGTTTACTTACGTAACGTCATACTTTGAGTAGCTATTTCGCAAGCAAAAGATCAATAAACGTTCTGAAAAGACTATCGAGTAGCGATCAGTGAATGCTCTTCTTGTAACGAGTGTAGGACGTATCTCTTCACACTACTTCGACGTAAAAGGCATACTATGACAAAAAAGAGGGATCCACGAGTCGTGTCGTTTATACGAGAGGGAAAGCGCCAAATACTTATGCATCGCTGCACCCTTGCGTCTCCTTAATTCCATAAATTCGTGCTTAAGAAATTTTGGTGACGAAGCGCTAGGTACTCCTTATCATTCAGGAATGTCCTTATAAAGTCTCGATTTTTCATTCTCTTTAATAAGGAAAGATCAAAAGCCTCATTCATCGGTGGTGTCGTCTTTGTCAATTTCGACACGGCGCAAGTGCCGTCCGCCATCGACATGTGACATCCTGTTTAGACCGCCGGACTCGGTGATCGCGCTAGAGGTCACAGGGACCGCAGTGCTTCTGGCATGGAGATGGCCCAAGCCAGAACCGCGACCATGTAAGCAAGACGCATTCGAGATGGTGGATCTGAAGAAAATGAGGGCGAGGCGGGTATGTACGGACTACCATTGCAACTGACCTGTTTGGTACAGTAGGATGCGCAGGGAAGTACAACATCTTACGTCGGATGAACGCTCGCCTAGGGCTATCCAATGTGTCTTAGGAACAGCCAAGGTATAAGAGCGGGGGCGTGTCAAGTCTTTGATCATCATCATTAACTGTCTCTTACATACAGTGGTTTCGTTCTTGAGTTGAGAGCGTATGCTAGGGTGTACTTCATATACTTTGCAATTAAATTGATGTGCAGTTCATCGCTTTATATTAGAGTGGCTTGTGGTGCTAATGCTCTTAGTTTTCTACTACTGCAGTAGACCTGATTACATGTAGCACCATCTCGATACCACGACAAATTAATCAATTCACACGTAAAGATATCACTAGATCATTAACCTGCAAAAATTGCGATAATGGCTACATTTGATGCCGTTCAAGAGTATTCAACAAGCTATATACAAAGGTTTAATTAAACCCCTCTGGTGGAATTTAAGATTATCTAGACTAGTCGACGATGCTGCTGCGGACGAGTAGCCTCGTACGTCGCACCATCGAGCAAGAGGAAGCTCAATGTGCACTCAATCGTCATGTGCTTACAGAAGTACGTAAGTCTAAAGCTTTTGACATGTGATAAATACAATTAAATTAATATTCTCATGTGTAATATTCCATTGGGAACAGGTACAGAATGTACTCAATGAAATGGTGTACGATGTCGAGACATGCGAGCATGAATGTGAACTTGTGAGACTGAAACTGCAACTCACTACTGCTGAGAGCGCATTGGCCGAGTATCAGGAGCGTGAGAGTGAGTTGCTACAGGAGAGGCAGCAGGTAAGTTTTGCTGTGTCCGGAGAAAAGAGTCGTATAACAATTGAAAGGTATGAGTAACTATATAGGCCTACGACTATGCTGTTCAAGTGGAGCAAGAAGGTCGGACAATCATGAGTAAGCTGAATGAACACTTGGGTGTGGTTGTCACGGAACTTGCCAAGAAAGAAGTGTACGTCAAGTTGTTTTATTCCTTTTAAGGGGTAATAATGTGGTAGAAGTAATGTTTGAGTGTCCTCTTGCTGTGTCTATTTCTGCAGAATGGAAAAGGAGCTACAGCAGGCAAAAGAACAACTCAAATTAAGTAGCCATTTGTCAAAAGAACTGGCTGGTGCACAACGAGAGATTCGAGAGCTTCGACGAGAAATTGATATTCAGCATATTCTTAGAAGGAATAATTCTGTGCCGGCAAATCTTGTGTCGGAGAGAAGGATACCTTCACGAGAAAATCATGTTACAGTACGGACCACGTCGGTTCTGGATGAAACGCCGTCTGCAATGATACAGAAAGAGAATGTCTTCTCACCGCTTCCAGACAAAGTGATGCTCAAGCTGTTTTCATTTTTGGATGAAGACAGCATGATCGCAATTAGTGTCACTAATCGAGTGCTAGTACGACGCGTGAATTTCATGTTTGGTGTGAAAACACCACCTAGTGTAGCAAACAGCGCTCCCCATGCACCTGTTAAACAACCATCGCTTGCACCACGAAAGCAGTTAAGGCTCAACTTCATTGGGTCGTCACCGAAAGTTAAGGTACTGTGCCATGCACTGGGACTAGATGCTCCGATACTTTACTCACACCATTCTTGTAAATGTTGGTTATGTATAGCTTTCAAAGGTAGATGCAATCGTGAAATCCTTAAAACCGGATCAAGTCAAGCTCTTTCATGACATGTCAACCAGAGTGAAGACATTGGAGGTAAGCTGTTATTTCGGTATGGACACACTATGAATCGAGATGATTGATTACTTACTATTGCAACAGGCCCACCTCACTCAGGTGCAGACCGAAAAGGAAGACATAGCTGCACGGCTGTACAGTACCGAAAGTGTGCGTGATTTTTTAATGGAAAAGCTAAAGGACTTGGAAGACACGTTAGCTGAAACCATGAAAACTACTACGAAGAAAGATGAGCAGGCTTCTCTAGACCGCGAGATTATTGGCTTTCTCGATGCAAAGACGCAGGAGTACGAAACTGCGTTAAAGGAATTTGCACAACAAAACAATATTCTTCAAATGGATATTGCTCAGCTTCAAGAGGATCACACCACTAAAACAACGGTGCGTTGGTTTATTGTACTGCACTATATATGTGATCTAGTGTCCGCAAAACAATCTGCCTCGTGCTAATTTTTTTTCTTGCTAATTTATGTTTGAAATAGATTATCAAAGACATGGTCGAGCTTCTTACTGAAGAAAAAAAGAGCTTGAAGCTCAGATTCGGTCTCAACGCAAAATCTTGGTGCGTGAAGTCAAAGTATTACGAGCTCAGAACCAGCATCTCGTTATCGAGAAGGACCACTATTTCACGCAACTCAAGCAACTTAAAAACGCCCTGCAACATCTGGACGAACTTAGCTAAAACTACCTTGACGATACCGGTATTCATACTAATCACTTTTTGAAGGAAAAAGATAGAATACAAACCACAATCAATTAGGAATGATGGTCATACCATAATTTCGGCGAATCTGAGCCACACACTTTTTGTGACCATGGTAACGGCTCTGCGCCGCTTCGCGATGGCGCGTCCTCGCCCCCAGATGACGCCATTCAATACACTTCGTTTCCAGCGTGCGCCTGTGCTTGCAGCTCAGTTCATTTGCCCCAACCCTTTTGCTTTCCGCAGCGCCTTCTACACGACGGACAGCAATGACAGAGACGACGAGAAGGACGTGACCGATGATGACGTAAACAAAGAGAATGACAAAAGTGTTGAAGTGGTCATCAACAATGATTTGGCTACAGTAGGGGAAGGTGACAATGCACCCACCTACCCCCATGTGCTGGTCATGCCAGCCCACCGTCGTCCTTTCTTCCCAGGGGTTGTTCTACCCATGACGATTACGAATCCTGAAGTAACACGTGCTCTTCTTGCTCTTAAAGAGAGTGGTCAAAAATATGTAGGTGTGTTTTTGAAAAAATCCAATGGGGACCCGTTAAAATCCGGTGGAGGTGAAGATCTGGTCAAAAATCTAAGTGAGATTCATCATGTCGGGAGTTTTGCCCGAATCGATAATATGCTGCCATTTGATGCTAATTCAGTACAAATATTAATGGTTTCTCAACGTCGAATTGCCATTGATACAATTCGAGATGAAGGACCTCCTGTTCGAGTAAATATCACGAATCTGGATAATCCGTCTTTTGATCCGAAAAGCCAATTAATTCGAGCTTATTCGAATGAAATTGTAGCAACATTACGTGAAATTGTCAAAATGAATCCATTATTTAAAGATCATATGCAATATTTTTCCCAACGGATTAATATCCATAATCCGTATAAATTAGCTGATTTTGCAGCATCTGTGACATCGGCCGATGGAGAAGAATTGCAACAAGTAATGGAAGAAATGGTGTGTGAAGCACGATTAAAAAAAGCATTGGAACTTATTACGAAAGAATTGGAATTAAGTAAAGTGCAACAGACAATTAAAGAACAAGTGGAAGAAAAAGTATCAAAAAATCAGCGCAATTATTTGTTAATGGAACAATTAAAAGCTATTAAAAAAGAACTTGGGATGGAAAAAGATGATAAAGATGCAATGATTACAAAATATCGAGAACGGCTTGCAGAATTTGATTCAGGGAGTATTCCAGATACGGTGAACGAAGTAGTAGAAGATGAGCTGAATAAAATGGCAATGTTGGAAAAAAATTCGTCGGAATTTAACGTGACGCGGAATTATCTTGATTGGCTTACGCAATTGCCATGGGGTAAAGCAACCGAGGAAAACTTTGATCTTGCCAAGGCCAAACAAATCTTGGATGAGGATCATTATGGACTGAAAGATATTAAGGAACGGATTTTGGAATTCATTGCAGTTTCTAAACTGAAAGGTAATGTCCAGGGTAAAATTATCTGCTTTGTTGGCCCTCCTGGTGTAGGCAAGACGAGTATTGGCAAGTCCATTGCCCGATCATTGAATCGTGAGTTTTTTCGGTTCTCGGTTGGTGGTCTTAGTGACGTTGCTGAAATTAAAGGTCATCGCCGGACGTACATTGGTGCTATGCCAGGCAAAATCATCCAGTGTTTGAAATCTACTCAGAGCTCCAATCCGCTGATTTTGATCGATGAAATTGACAAACTAGGACGCGGATATCAGGGCGACCCTGCTTCAGCTCTGCTAGAGCTTCTGGATCCTTCACAGAACAGCGGCTTCGTTGATCACTACATGGATGTGCCGGTTGATCTGTCTCGCGTTCTTTTCATCTGTACTGCTAATGTCACTGATACTATCCCCGGACCTTTGTTGGATCGGATGGAGGTTTTGCGTCTGTCGGGCTACGACTCACCGGAGAAATTGGCAATTGCGAAGGAGTACCTCGTACCCAAGGCCCTCGAGAAAACGGGTCTGCAGAAGTCGGAGACAACGCCAGAGCCGCTTGGTTTGACAGACGATGCTATTTTGACGCTAGTCAAGCAGTACTGCCGCGAGAATGGTGTCCGAAATCTGGAGAAACATGTAGAAAAGGTCTTCCGCAAAATTGCCCTTGAGGTTGTTGAGGACATTGAAAACACCAAGGCTGCTAAGACCCAAGAGGCTGGTGAGTCGACTTCTGCGTCGACGGCTAGGGAAGATTCGTCGGAAGACCAGGACCACTTTGTGATCACGCCTGAGAAGCTGTCAAAATACGTCGGCAAACCTATCTTCACGTCGTAAGTAGTGCCTTTTGAGCGCGAAGCTTACTCGTTGTTATTTATACTGACTTTGTTTCGGCGTTGGTTCTAGTGACCGCATGTTTGACAAACAGTTTCCTGGTGTTGTGATGGGGCTTGCCTGGACGGCCATGGGCGGAGCTTCTCTCTACATTGAGACCACCAAGGTACACACGAAAGGTGACCGCTCTGGTTTGATCACTACGGGCCAGATGGGATCTGTAATGGAGGAGAGTACGAAAATCGCACACACGTTTGCACGCAGCAAGATGCATGCAATTGACTCGGAGAACAAGTTCTTTGAAGAGAATGAAGTGCACTTGCACGTACCGGAGGGAGCAACACCTAAAGACGGACCGTCAGCTGGTTGTACCATGGTGACGGCGTTGCTCTCACTAGCTATGAACAAGTACGTCGTGTGAATGACCGTGTTTTTTTGCTGATCCCTTTACTAACTTGTTCTTCTCGATTGAACAGGAATGTAAAACCTGATCTCGCTATGACAGGAGAGCTGTCGCTTGTGGGCAAGGTTCTGCCTGTAGGTGGCATCAAGGAGAAGATCATTGCTGCGAAGCGATCAGGAGTGAAAACGCTTATTCTGCCACTCGGAAACAAGCGCGACTTTGACGAGCTTGAAGAGTACCTGCGTAAGGATCTGGACGTGCACTTCGCTGACTACTACAACGACGTGTATAAGGTCGCTTTTGAGCAGGAATAGATACATACGTTGATTGTCTCTGACAGTCGACTTATACAGCAATATCAAAGTCGACACTCTGAAAAACTTTCAGCTTATTTGACTTGCATAACCGACTCAACTGTGCTGGAAATAGATACACGGATTGTGAGAGGTCACTTCAGTTTCTACCACGTCGGACTTGCTCATTCGAAATGGTACTTCGTATGCTCTGGAATATTGGTTCAGGTCTCGTGCACGGTGCTCTGCATCAGACGTCTCATTCCGGTTTGGCTGGGTTGCATTATCCAGCGGTCTGGAAAGCTCGATCTGGATTCCTCGACTGTGATGTGAATCTACACGTCAATAACTCGTCGTACCTCTTCAACATGGAACTCGCTCGCTGGCACTTTACCGCGTACGCTATCTGCAGTTATCGATACTTTATTATCCTACTTAGTTGTTATGTTTTATGTTGATCTAGGGCAAATGGTGCTCTGTGGCAAGCTATAAAGCATCGACGGATGTTCTTGGCGGCATCACAAGCCATTCGTTTTCGTCATGGCATTCGTCCGTTTCAAGCCTACGAAATCAAGACACAAATGGTCTATTGGGATGGCTCTTGGATCTTCTTTTTACACCAGTTCCAAGACTCATCGAATGGCAAGCAATTTGCTGAAGGGTTATGCCGCGTCAAGGTCAAGCAACATGGAAAGGATGTATCGTTTGAAACAATGATCTCTGAGATTTATGACGGACCAATTCCGTCTCAACCTGCCGAGATGCCGGATATCGTCAAAGAATTTCTCGAGTGGGATGGGGCGAGTCGATCAAGTATGGAGACGGCTCATGAAAGCATGAGAGCCACAATCAGTAGCAATCCATTACCACGAAAGCCTGAGAAACTCGGAGCTCGGATTTGGATGGAAATGCAGCGTTCCATGAATCGTCCATAAGTTCTTGGACACTTCGTCAGCTTATAATTTAGCACTTGTTGAAAGCTAAATAGTACCTATTTCAATATCAAAAGTGGGTAGAGTGAGCGATGATTACTTAAAGGGTGTGTAAATTGTCCGGACTTGACGCAATTAGTGCTGCATACATCATAATACATTAAATAAAATTAATGTATATCTATGTGTTCTTTATAGCCAGCCAAGAAACGCTACAATCTTTTCCATACAGACGGACATCAAATGCTTTGTCACGTACAAAATTAATAATATTAATGCAAATTATATTTGCGCAGCCCTTCCCCCTTTAGTTAAATTAACTTTAATTCGAGAGTAAGAAATACAAATTAATTGCTTACGAAATCACCAATGACAGCTTTTTGATTGACCCCTGGCCGTTGCTTCTCATTCTTCGAATGCACTTCTTACCCTAATTAAAAAATGATAATACATACGCCAGCATAAATTGCGCATCCACACGCTTGGCATCATACGCTGACAAAAAGTTTTCCCCAAGATCACCAATTATGGTCGCGGCGGGATTATCACTACTAGGATATTATAATTCGTAATCTTAGGCGTCCATTCGACCATCGGCAACAGCTCGTGCCTGCATGCGTTTTACTGCTTTGACTTCAGTAAAGTTCAAGCAGACATTGTAGTCTAGCAATGGGACACACCTTCTCTGCAGGATAAGCCTTATAAAGGCCAAATAAAAAGGTGTACGTCGGGTCAGCATGGTAGCAACGTTGAAGCTGCAATTGGATGCATGCAATTTCTACCTTTTTGTCTATGAGTGTGACCCGAACACTAGCATGGAGCAAAAACAAAGGATTAGCTCGACTGGAAGGGATGGTCAGCAGACGTCTACAACGTCACACGCACAAAGTATAGTTAGCGTTCAAAATGTACTCATTTCTTCGATAGCATATACTGCTAGTGCCTGACATCACGATCCGATATTGGTTCTGTAGCTGCTGTTATCCGTGCTTCCCCATTTTGCTTCACCTCAGTGACAGCACTACGCAGTCCTTAACAAACATTCTTGCCTGATAATGTCGTACAACCACACAGTACTAAATATATCTTCTCCGCGCGATCTGCAACACAATTGGAAATGCTCGTGCTTTCGGATGTTGTGAGCGACTTTAAAGGATACGCTAAGCTCGTATCGTTAATGAAAACAGTAGCAGCTTCTCCTGACAGAGTTGTGTGGTGGATCATCGCTTTCATGTAATTCTCCTGGATGGCTCATTGATTCGCAACATCAGTTCTTTCAGCTTTTTTTGCAGAGCTTTACATGGAAGCAGACCGATTGGCCTTCGTCCACCTTGAAAGAGTATATAGCTGGCGGTGTGCCAAGCCGAACGAGCGCGTTTGGAGGCAAAATCTATTACGGTTTGTAGGGTCATGAACGTATTCGACTGCTTTAGTGAATTTGTCACTAGATGTAGTACTCCAAGCCATTTGCCGGAGCTATACGATAAAGGTAGTAATTGAACTTGCTGATGTGGTGAGTGCGAGTAGGAGGTAACGATAAGGCAGCACACGACTTGGTTCCCGAGGATACGAAGCGAGATGAAAGTCAAGGCAGAAAATTACTTAGCGTCGTCGTTCAGGCGCAAAGGAGATGACTGGTATGTCACTGCATAGAGCTTGAATGGGACGACGAACATGAAAATACATTCGCTTTCGTACCGCAGCCGAGGACTGCTTGACAAATCTGGCTCTAGCAGTTGATTTTTTGCAAGTTGCTCGTTGCGTTCGAGATACCAAGCCGTTCAGATGCGACTAGTTGAGTACAACTGCGTCACGTATTGCACACGTCACGACTTAACTACTTGCCCGAGATTTTCTGTCGAGGACTCTACTGTGCAGCCAAAATCTCTTTGTTCGATCGAGCGACCAAGCATTGCGTTAGTCACTGCTGTTCTCTCCATAAAATATCGTTGAAGGGCGCCTGGCGGTTGCGCCACGATATCGCGACCACAAGTTCTGTTGCCAAGTGCGTAGAGCGCGTCTCGACGTTCGTCAACGCTACTCGAAAACTGTTTGTAATTAGAGCTCAATGGTTGTCAAAAGCTGAGATCGACTACAGTGCTTCTCTGACGCTCGCACGCAATGGAGCAAAAAGGGACTTGCTCCGGTCAGGCGTTGCATTCTTTCGTTGCGGCCGTAGTGCAACGAGTTAATGCGAGGATGTGTGGCAACTCGATGGTGAACTCTTGGTTTTTCAATCTGCAATGTGACGTTCTGATCTTTGCATCTTCTTTTCAAATGCAGAAAGCTTAAGAGAGAGAAAGAGAGCAAGCTCAGCTACGAGAAACACCAGATGGAGCGTAAAACTCAGTATGGCGAGAGAGCTTCAGCTAGGGCAGCCCGTGAAGCAGCTCTGCTTCATATGAGATGCAGCGTCTGACGAACCGTCACGTTAGAGACCTCAAGCATTTCGCCTATGTCAGCTACAGTAGCAGCTACTGCATACCGCCTTTTCTTGTCTTCTGCTGCTTGCATAAACTTTGAATGGTAGACTTCATATCTGGCGTGCAGCTGATTTTCGAGTGAATCTAGTATCGAAACACTGGGTGGTCTCTGAGCACAGCCTCAAATTCTGCAAGAAGGTAGAGGCCTCGAACTAGGTGCAACATTAAAAGACGCTTCCTGGTATGATCGAGCAAAAGTAGGGGCTGCTACATGTCAGCAATGCTTACTACGCGAGAATATGAAGTTTTTGTGTGTGTTGTGAAAGCAATACGTCACGTGCTAAAAATTGCAACGATGAAAGGGAGGGTTCCCAGAAGGTGCGTGTTAACTTGACTTTTTCAGGTGTGTCTACATGCCTGTCCACGACCAAAGCTATTGCCGTTTCAAATTTTTATCTTGTCGTATCTACTGCGTAGTGAATGAGAGTTGTCGGCAGAACCACGTCAAAGCGAACCGGTCAAGAGCTGAAGGCCTATCTCCGGAACAATCTTCAGCTCCTGCTCGCGTGTTTTCTTTTCATTGCGTCGCGACGTATAATCTCGTTTTTTAGCAAGGGGTGAGTATTTAAGCAAAGTCAAAGGTCGACGAGCCCACAAGGGCTTGCCACGTGCTCAACCGATCGAAGCGTGATTGCGCTGTATTGGCGACCCGATTTGAAATACGTTGCCCAACTGTTTTTGTCTAAAAACGTTACTCGTATCGTCCGATCCTTTAGGCTGCGCACGAAAGTAGAACATAACTCCTGTCATGTAAAATGGAAGCAGCTGCAACCGAGGAAGACTACCAGCCGTCTAAACTTGTTATCATAGCGTGAAAGCGTAAGACGTTTAAAATTTGGGGTTTGCTCTAGGAAGAGCATTCAGCGCGAAAATTGCGCTTGATCTGCGTTCGCCATAGCGTACGAGCTTCTCTCTCTCTTCGAAGGTACAACACGCCGCCTCTACTGAGCTGGTTGCGTTTCCTACAACAATTACAATTACGGTCGATTGATTGCACTCCATCTGTCAGGCATTTCAAACTGATTAAATGGTGCACGTTACTGATTTTGAAAGGCTCTTTTGTCAAACACTGCGTCAATCACCTCGACACCAAGGCTCAAAGCTCGCACGTCTGTGCCAAGTAACCGTGAAGCAGGTGCTTGGGACATGTTCTCTCACCGAGCTCACTTAACTCCTGCTAATCTACGCTCTATCTGCTTGTCATTTTGCTGATATCGTAGCGTGTTGCACATACCCGCAGCCCATACGACACATACGCCATAGATGCAATACCGTGTAATATCTGAGACCAGTATATCAAACTTGTCATGTTTCTTACAATCTGACACAATGAGCATCATTTCCATGTTATTACGACTCGGCCTTTTTCGTCACCAACAGCGAGATTGATTGACACGTTCACACTGCCACGAGATCAGATGGCGGCTCACCAACCTATTTATGGCAATAAAACTATCACAATCGTCTTAGAGCGCCCAGTTCAACAAACAGAGCGTTCTGCAAACTATGCTTTGACGTCGTAATTGTTTGTCGTAACCAGCCAGGCAACGTTGTTTAGATCAACGGCCACACATACCATGATGAATACTGGAATTTTTTTTGGCACTGACTGAACGGGGCTCCTCCTTTTTACTCGAGTCAACTGACGAGGTACTGGTGAGCCCCTCTGCCCATTGCAAGCATCATGCCCATCCGTTCGTCTTGTGTTGAAGTCGTGGGTGTATTGTCCAACGCAACGAGCACTCCGGGTCGGAGCAAATTGGATAGACAGTGCAACGTGAACAGCTTGGCCCTTTATTTGCCAGCCATAGCGTCTAAGCCAGTCACGCACGCGCGCCATCCGGTTCGGCGCTATCAGCTTATAGTATCACGGCTGTCTACAAAAACGTTTGTGCCACCGGCGACAACCAGACAAAAGAGAGGATTCTCAAAACATAAGAGATAGGAAATCTCGCACCGAGCTGCTCATTCTCGAATTCAACTACTAGTGAACTAGCGCTACGATCAAAGCCAACCACTGCCAGCCACGACCGTCGGCCGAATATCCGTACGATTACCTGACGTAACACGATTCAGCTTGATACTATTCGTCTAGCAGTTGTCGGTAAGGACAAGATCACCAAGTCCCATCACAGCACAACAGACGAAAGCCAGTAAGTCAGTCGAAGCGCCTTCGACTACTCAAGCCTGCACAAAACAACTAGCGAAATACACAAGACTTTATGTCCTTCATAATGGCAGATTGCCATCAAGTGCGTGGCAATGACTCCAAGATCGACGGCACTGCCGAGGACAAGAAGGACGTGCAGTGCGACGCTGAAGATACCACGTCAGGATACGATGACTTCTGCCTCTTGACTTCGTCCATCATTAAGCTGGATCCCAAGGACGTGTTGATCATCAAGGACGGTACCGTGCGCGTCGCCGAGTCCCTAGACCGTGAGCAGCTGGATGCCAACGGAACCGCCGTGAAGGCATCAGGCAGTTGGACCAAGGCCGAACATGAGCGCTTCTTGTGTGCAATGAAGACATTCCCAAAGGGTCCATGGAAAGCCATTGCCGAGATGGTCGGTACTCGGACGGTGCGCCAAACGCAGACACACGCCCAGAAGTACCGGGAGAAGTTGGCCCGCCGCATGCGGGGTCTCCGCAACCGGAACGGTACCCTGCAGAACCCACCTATGGCAGGAATGGCGGGCTACCCTCATTACATTATCCCTTCCTACACAAGCATGCACGAACATGGCTATCAACATGCGGCTCATTCTGGTAAAACGGGATACACCTCCACGGCTACTCTTGCAAGAACTTCATCACTACCATCCATGCCCCTGCACAGTCTACCCCTCGATCACAACCACACACCGTACGTTTCCACTGCATTGCCGGTCTCGATTGCCATGGTGAGTTCGGAGTTTAGCCAAATGAGCACGTCTATGACTTCTCCGAGTGCTGTTATCGAAAACGGAATCTACCTATCACCCTGGGAAACCAACGGGGCTGAAAACAAGCCGACGGTGCCTGACTTTGACGAATCCATGGATTTTCTCATGGATGTGTACTCGTCAAACCCCAGCGAGATCAACACGGTGATGCCATCACAATCGATCGGGATGACCGTGACGCCAACCGCTTGTATCCCGCGCGCGCCACCGACACCGATGTCATCCTTGGTGATGAAGCGGCACCCAGGGTACGGGCTTATTCAACAAGAGAGAAGGCATGCAAAGCTAGACATGAGAGAGCAAGAGGTAAAAGCGTATGATTCGACTTGAACCACTAAATTTATTTGTATTTGACGTCTAAGGTTTATCAACTGCATTAGCAGTGGCCAACTGTTGCGTATCCTCCGTTTTGAGTGTCAAAAAGCATCAGACTTTGCACCTTCATTACTACTGAATTTATTAACGTTGATGTCCATTTTGCAGGATGACAGTGAACTATCTGCCTAAACACCAGGGCAAGCTTGCAAGCGTTAATTCAGTACCCTGTATACAGGCTGTATACCCATCTCATTCTTCTTATGTTGCACTAGAGGGTGACCACCTACACAGCAACATATATCTATCCGGTTTAAGGCAACTCTCGCTGCAATAACCGCATATCAGCAACTTAAGGTAACCCAATCACACGGATGAGCTCCACCCCGCGTGCAACGCCACAGCGTCTTACGCTGGAGGAAAAAGTGTGGTTTGATCGACGACGTAAAGATATCGAGTATTGCTCGGGTGTTGGTGGAGCTGTGGGCGCCGCTATTACCGCTGCAATCACCAGTAAACGACCGTCAACTTAATTCGTTGTATATTCTAATTAATTCTTACTGTTTTACATTTAATTTACTACGTTTTAGTTCTCGGCCCATTTCCAAAACGTGTGCAATTCTTTGCCATTGCTGGTGGAGTTGTTATCGGTGGTGGAACAGGATATCTCTATGCTGATAATAAAGCATTGGAAAGAGTGCAAGATTTGAGTGCCAGCAGTAATCTGCGTAAACAATATCAGCAAATGTGAGCTGGAAATTGCAGTAAAAAGTAGGAAGAGTCAAACATTTTCTAATGTACTTGTGGTGTGGTACAGCGAGATGGAGAAAAAGGCGGCCAAGACTTCCAAGTAAAAATAGGAGCATTTCAGAATTACGTGAAGTAGCCGAAGCAACAAAACAGAAAATCAAAAAGTAGCAAATCCAAAAAGTAAAAAGGAAGACGTGCTTGCAAGATGTTTTTTTCTTATTGTCACTTCCATCTCCTTCTTTGTCAATTTTTTTGTGAATCGCCTATCGGTAAATCGATGGCTAAATGTTTTTGAATTGGTGCTTGCACATTCCACAGCTGCTTGGGAGCAGTGGTTATCTAAACCTGCTGCGAGTCTTTGATCGTTTGCTTGAATGAAAACGGGTGGAATTTGTAGCCGTCGGCCTTGTAAAACTTGTTCTGGAACTCGACCCAGTGCAGACGCAGCGCGTGCAAGAAACACTCGAGCACGTCCATGGCAAGGATCACACCAAACGTTGTCACTGCGAACACGGCAAAACCGATGAAAATCGCGATGAACGAGTCGCTATTGATGGTGGACAACATCGTCTTTTCCCAAAACACAGTGGCCAGTTCAGAGTGAGCTAGACTCAAAGCCCACAAACGCAGGTACGATGCCGTATTCGAAACCATGCCCAGCACAAATTCGATGGTTTCAATGCCTTGGTGGATGACCACTTCGCCAAATTCAAACTCTTCACCGTGGCCACCACCGCTAGAGTTGCCATGGTGGCGTGACACCATACGCTCCTCAGCTTCGTCATCAAAGTCTACGTGGTGACTCACAGGCGGTGCAGAGCGATCGTTCTGGAATTTCATGTAAATAGGCTTGATGAACAACATTGCCGGCACAGACAGGAGCGCCATCGTGAGCAACATCTGCTGGGTCTCAAGTTGGCCCTCATAAAGTGGATCCACAACGTTGCCAGGTGCCAATGCAATGTTAATTAGCGTGTTCACAAGCGAAGGCGGGCGACAGCCAGTCTGTTTACCAGCAAAGTTAAATGGGCACACCTCATATTTCATGCGCTCAGTCCAGTCAATACTCCACTTCATCACAATAAGCACGATCATGTAGCAAAAAAGCGAGACGGCGAACACGATTTGCGGTACAAACTCGAAGAAGAAGGTCGAGTAATCACTGAAGTACAAGTTGTTCCAACCCTTGAGAAGGATACCGAACGTCATCTGGACTATGCCAAAAATCACAGAGATCTTCATCTTGAACGAGTTGAAAAAAAGCAACTCGTTCGAAGATGTCTTCCAGACCGGATCCAATCCAACGGCGTACACGTTGTCGCCTCTAGAGACGTCCGTAGCGTTCACGTACGTCATCTGGCCGTCAATCATGTACTCAGCCACACACTTAACCTCGCGATCGTGAGACTCGAGGCAATCAGGGTACGCGAACTTGGAACCGAACAGATTTAGCGGCAACGAGAAGAAATCGTTGTAGATGATGCCAGCATAAATGGCAAAGGCACCCATCAAAAACAACATGTATCGTCCACCGTAAATTGATGCCGTCATTTCACCCATGCTTCCCGGCTGCTCGAGACGACGTTCCGTTAGGATCAGATATAGTCCAAATAGCAGCACGCATAGGCCGTGACCAATATCACCGTACATGACACCAAACAGGAACGGGAACGTCACAGCAGTAAATACTGACGGGTTCACCTCGCGGTAACGAGGGCATCCGTACGTCTCCACAAAGTTCTGAAACGCGTCAGTAAATTTGTTCGTCTCAAAGTATGTAGGCGGTGTTGGCCACGGCTTGGATACTCTATCCACAAGTGACGGCATCGACTTGTCATCAGCCGTTGTATGGGCACGCGTAACAGCAGCGCGAACACTCGCTAGGGCCTCTTTAATAACCCATCCCTCAGCGCGAAGCATACCACTCACGTCAGCGCGGAACATGTTGAGTGCGTGATACGTCGCCTTCTCCTGTAACACAGACCACTTCCATGACTCGATCGTCTCCGCCAGGTCACGACACAGTAGCACACAGCTCTCCCGATTGCGGCGTAGAATGTGACTGCTCTGATTCAGTTCTCCAGCATTGCTCTGGATCAAGTGTGCAATAGCAGCGCGATCCTCCATTGGTGGCAATGAGTACAACCTTGCATGGAAAGCATCACAAATTTTGCGTAGCTTATTTTCAATAAATGTCGACTGGAAAAAGATGACAAAGGCGTGCTTTGTAAGTGGTTGGCCATTGCTCGGGTCAATCAATGGCATTTCAATCGGCGAGAATCGTGTCAAGCAATTCCCACGCGTTGTCCGAAAGATCATTCTCTCAAACTTGAGACGTTCATCAGCCGGTACAACCCCTGTCACATTCCGAAACCGCAATGACGACGTATCTTCTCCCACAACTGCTCCTGATGACGAATCCACAAAACTGTAACCTCCTGACCGTGAGGACGTCCTCGATGCACGCCGTGTCTGTACTTCTGGAACTAAAATGACCAAAATTCACAAATCAAACAGTGACAATTGTTAATTTTTCCATAGAAGATACCCCAAAAACTACCCAACATCATAAAACCTCACTCTCAATTTCAAAAAATTCACCAGCTCGGTTGATTATTTCTTGCAATTCTTTGCGTTCATTGTACTCCCTCGTAAGTTTTTCATGCATTGAATTCAGCTGAAGAAGTTCCTGTTCCTTGTCTTCCAACACTCTCTCAAGTGTATCCAATGCCCGAGTTGCCGTATCCTGCGATCCATAGCGAATATCAGCTGAACCAGCTATAAAATGATCAATTGAGCCCGCGGATTTGGGTAAAATACTAAATTTTGCCAATTCCACTTCGAAATAGCGTAATTTTCGCTCCATTTCATCACAACGTTTCACGTAATTTACATAACGACGTTGGAATGGCGTGAGCTCTGTATTAAGGTCCGTGAACTCAAGGACACCAAGGTCACCGAGCTTCTGGACACAGTCATGGGCTGCATCTTCATTCACAATGAGTGAAATATACTCCATTTCGGCTGAGCGAAGCCACTTCATTTTGTCGATAGAATTGTAAAGACTGTATTGCGTAAAGAGGGAGAAATCGAACTTAGGGGGCTGGGAATCAGGTCTAAAAATAGAAGATCGGATTGTTTGGAAAAAGATTGTTTGGAACCATTTTATGGTGAAAAGTGACTTATTTTTATTGGATCGTTGGCATGAAACCAAACAGGGTGATAGATGCACTGGCTTTTTGAAAAGGTTTCAAGACATTTCAAAAGTAATTTATGGGTCAAAAGCTTTCGAGGGCTTTCGTCGTGTTTAGGGTTTTAAAGTAGATCGTTTGCTACAGATGACAGAGTTACGGAGATGAGCTCTTTGGCAAAGGCGGCGAAAGATAAGCGTTCTGTTAACTTTATCGCAGAGCGGAACATACTTGGTGACTATTACTTTTTTACTAACTGTAATTTGTATGTGCGCCTCTGCAACTGCATGTGTTTACAAAAGAGATCGAAAGTAGAAACACTACTTTAATTGTTTTTACTCTAGATCTTATTTAGTTTAATTATTGTAAAATGTATAAGATTCTAAGAAAAATCAGAAAACTAACAAAAATTAGATTTATTTTTGCTAGCTAAACTTGTGGTATGTTTATATTATGTTCTGGTTATGCGGTATATTAATTTTCTCATCTTACTCACTTTTATTTTTTTATAAATTTAATTAAAACTGAGAGCCAAACGTGAAAACAATTGTAGTACTATTTCTAGATATACTTGGTACATTTTTTCTCTAAATCTCAATAAAGTATCTGTAACATCGCACTTGCTAGCTTACACCCAGTCAATATATTCACCAGCTCATCATCACTGATGAATGGTATAAAAAGACTAGTTTTGCAATCAAATTCAGTGTAGCAATCCAGTTCAATTATACATAAAATCTCAAGTGCAAGAAATAAAATGTACGGCTCTTGACGTTCCAACCAAAAAATCTTGTTAAAAAACATCACTTAAAAAGCTCATGAGCAGTATTCCTACCCCTCTTCGTTGGGGGTTTCTCGGTTGTGGTCGTATTTCAGCCGACTTTATCAGTGCTCTCAAGTCCCTTGACAATATTAAATTCCAAGCTTGTGCCGCTCGGTCCTTATCAAGTGCCAAAAATTTTGCCAAATTGCATGAAATTGCAAAAGCTTACGATTCCTACAAAACCCTTGTCTCAGATACTGAAGTCGATATCATCTACATTGGTACTCTCCATCCATGGCATTATGAACATACAATGCTTGCCTTAACTCATGGTAAACATGTATTGGTTGAAAAACCCATGGCCATGAATGTAACTCAAGCTGCAGCTGCTATTGCACTTGCTCGAGAAAAAAACCTTTTTCTAATGGAAGGAATGTGGACTCGATTCTTTCCTGCAATTCACCACGTTCGGCAACTTTTGACCGACGAGGTGATTGGAAATGTACATCATTTGCACGCTGTTTTTGGTGTGCAATTCGATACTGACAATGCCCGAATGTGGCACAAGGAGCTTGGAGGTGGAGGTCTTTTGGACATTGGTATCTATCCTCTTGCTTTTACTACAATGGTGTTTGGTGGGAAACCCGAGAAAATTACGTCGGCTGGAAAGCTCAATGATGGTGGAGTCGACATTTACAACTCGGTTACACTCGAGTACACTGACTCTCGCTTTGCTACCATTGAGTATACGATGCTGGCGACACTGGATGAGACTGTGACTATTACTGGAAGTAAAGGACGCATCCATCTTCCTGCATCGGCTCATACGGCCACAGAAGTGATAGTGGTCAAGTACCTGGACGATGGGTCGCAAGAGAAGACCAAGTTGCTCTTTCCATGGCCGACGCCTGCTCCCGGTGCTAAATTTAACTACCCAGGCTCCGAGGGATTTCGCTATGAGGCCGAGGCTGTTGTTAAGGCTATTCAAAACAAACAGCTCGAGGTCGAGGAGTATCCGCTGGACGAATCACTTGAGATCATGACCATCATGGACGAGGTTCGCAAAGACGTAGGTCTCGTCTACCCCGCAGACTCCATGTAAACTTCGTACCGTTGCTATAGCTGACAGCATTGTGACAACAATCTTCATGAAAGTCTAAACCAGCGAATGCAATTGAACTCGCTGTTTACAAACAGTGAGACCAAACGCGATGCTCAGGGAATATGACGCATTCAAATGACAAGTCATTGTAATCAACTGCTACCATTCACTACATAGCAGTTCATTCGTTTAAACTTTACAACAACACTGAATTGTAGTGCGTCGTTTAGATAGCTCTATCTATGCATGCAAAAATCGCAACTTCCATACAAACCTCAAGTATAATGCACCCGACGATATGCTCAGACGTCATCCATCTAAATGCGCAAACACGACAATTCCACTACCCCCCCCCCCCCTCTTCATTTAACAATTTGCATCCAGTAGTTTGTCATACTATCAATAAACACCAACAACTAAAAACACGATGAAGTCGACATCAATGCCCCCTATGAACGTAATTGAAAAGATTTTATGTCATCACGCTGTCGGTCTTTCAAAACCATTCGTTCAAGTTGGTGATGTCCTTTGTGTAAAAGCCGATTGGACCATTGCCAGTGAATTGACATTTCAAGCAATGGATACAATGCACGCTGCCATTGGTCGTCCTCCTCTTCATCGACCCGATCGATTCTGGTTGGCTTTGGACCATACAGTGGACCCCCGGGTCAACCATTTACCAAAACAAAAAGCATTGATTGAAATGTCCACTTCATTTGCCAAAACCCATGGACTGACGGACTTTCAACCTGCTAATACTACCATCATGCACACGGAATTTGCTCGTAAACGTGCCCAACCAGGACAAATTGTCATTGGTGCAGACAGTCATACGTGCAGTGCAGGAGGTATGGGTGCATTTGCAGCTGGGTTAGGTGCAGGTGATGTTGTCATGCCTTTAGTCACGGGTCAAACGTGGTTTAAAGTCCCGGAAGTGTGTTACATTGAACTGATCGGTGCCCCTCACTTTGGTATCGGTGGCAAGGATGTCATCCTTCATATTCTTGGCGAACTTAAACGGAACACAGTCGCTTTTGAACGGGCAGTATACTATGGTGGTTCTGGACTTAAATACCTTTCAGATGATGCTCGATTTGCAGTTGCAAACATGAGTACGGAATTTGGTGGTATTGCCGGGGTCTTTCAAGCGGATGCTATTACTCAACGGACACTTGAAGCACGTGAGTCGCACTTTGATGAAGCACAGTTCTTTGAACCGGATGAGGGATGCAATTATGCGGCTCATTATGTGATCAATTTGGCTGATGTCAAGCCACTTATTGCTCTCTATCCGTCACCGGACAACTGTGTTAGTGTCCAGGAGAAACTCGGGATGAAGCTCGATGGATGCTTCATTGGTGCCTGTACGACGACTCAGGAGGATTTGATCCTAGGAGCAATGGTGTTGCAACAGGCGATGATGGAGGGCAAACGTCCATCAACAAACGGCAATCGTCGTGTCACCCCCGGCAGTCTGGAGATCGTTGACCGACTGAAAGAACTTGGGCTGATTCGTGTGTATGAAGAGGCGGGGTTCACTGTTGGTGTGCCGAGCTGTAGTTTCTGTGTAGGTATTGGTGCTGATGTGGCTGGTGAAGATGAGGTGTGGCTCTCGAGCCAGAACCGCAACTTTCGTAACCGTATGGGCAAGGGGTCCATTGGTAACCTCAGTTCAGCGGCCGTGGTGGCTGCCTCCAGCTTTGACATGGAGGTGGTAGACCCCCAGCCATATCTTGACAAGATCAATAAGGACGACTTTGACAGCTACCGCAACTGGGTCGAGCCGGATGCTTCGACACCATCACCGGCCAAGACGACCAAGTCGTACAAGGTGACGGAGCCCAAGCCCGTGCTTGTATCTGCTGATGATGTGGAGAGCGCACAGCAGGCCAAAGAGCAGGCTAGTGTTGCTGAGTTGGAATCTGCTCTGCCGCCCAAGTTTAGTGGTAAGGTACAAGTATTCGGCGACAATATCGATACGGATGCCGTGATTCCGGCGCAATTCATGGGCCTGAACAAATCATCACCGCTGTGGCCTGCTGAATGCGAGACGGAATTGGACGTGCTAGCTGCCAAGTCATTCGCGTACGTACGTCCCGAGTTCCCGCAAAAAGTGAAGGACGGTTTCAACATTATTGTGGCCGGCACGGCATTCGGCAGTGGTTCGTCGCGCGAAGAAGCCGCTATCTGCTTGAAGGCCGTGGGTGTCCAAGCCGTGATTGCCAAATCGTTCGCTTACATCTACGCTCGCAACCAGCCCAACAATGCTCTTCTAGGTATTGTAGTGACGGATGAGAAGTTTCACGAGCTTGCGAGCGAGGGCGAGGAGGTGACGGTGGACCTGCGCAACCGAGTTGTGAGTGTGAAGGACCACCAGGTTGCATTCTCGCTGACGCAGCTCGAGGAGGCGTTCCTCAACGGTGGTGGTCTCAAAAACCTCTTCAAGCAACACAAGGCAGACCTGTTCCGTGCCGCTATGCGTGGCAAGGCTTCCAAGCCCATCGCTTCGAGTGGGGTCGGCTGTGGAGACGATTGTGGTGGTGAGGCGGCGTCTACTCCGTCATGGTAGCCAGAGCAGTTGATACTAGGGGTACATGCACAAATAAATGATCTACATGCGCATTGATCCGGTGCTTTAACTAAATGATTGGCTTGCTCGTCGCACTTGGCGCTCAATTAAAATCGACGCGGCAAATAGATAGCTTCGAGCTCCACGCAGGACTGAGAAGGTCAAAAGACACCGACAAGCGATAAAGGCAAAGATGCAGCCTTCGATACTCAAAAAGTGGATGAACCCCTTCGAATGTCACGAATGCATATTGCAAGAAATGACCAACAAAGGTCACACCGCTCCTGCTTCGGTAGAAGCGAGCAAAACGGACATCATCCAACTCTTCCAATTGCATTTCGAGCCGTAATAAGCAGTCATGTCAAATTGCAGCACAGCTTCGTCTATGATGAAGAGATGGTCTGTCGTGGAATCGAGCACAAGAATCCACTGTTTGAATATCGTGGAGCAGGTGGTGCAATTGGTTTTGTGCATAGTGAAAGCTTTCGTGCCAGCAAAAGCGACTTCTTAGAGGCCCTTGAGATTAGCAGCTAAACACAGTCAATCACAACAACAAATCCATATCAAGCTATCAGCATCAAACACTTGTCCCACATGTCACGTTGCGTTTTACGCATTTCTTCTGTAATTCCATTGTTAACTACGCATATTGTTAGCGCAACTGATAACCATCTTCTACTTGCTGCGTCCAAGGTCCTTGGCCGTGCGATGCGCGTGCAGACTCCATTCCATCTTCGTCTGGGTCACTACACAATGTACACATTTGCACCAACGACAATAAGCTCACTTCACAGATAAAACAAAGTAAGCGTACGAACCAGGCATGACACGACGCATCTCCTTGAAAGTCTCCTCGGACATGTTGATGTACATATCTTCAAGATTCATCTGCAAATTGTCCTCTGCTTCTTTCATGACACCCAGGATAGCGTCACCCAGACCACCAGGACGCTGCACCGTAATCTCCTCTTTAACATCCTTGATGCTCTGCAACTGCAAGTTCCCGTTTTCAAAATAGTGCACATGCAGCTCAATGGTCCCCATAACTATAGACGGATTAGCCGTCAAGTCTACCTCCCACCGCGACTTCCAGCGTCCTCCCCAAAAATTGCGTAGATTGACCCGTTCCGTGCACAAATTTACCACCAGCTTCGTACCAACCACGTACACCCCAGCAATTCCTCTTCAGTATCACAAAAAACAACGTTAGTCGATATATAACTTGATTTTTTCACGATCGACATATTTCCGTACCCATGCATATACTCAAATTGCAAGTACGATTGTAAGGATTTTTGCACTTCTTTTCTACAAAAAATTGTTTAGTTCGATCCATAGCAGCACCTAATATTAATTTTCACGGGTTCCTCACCGTTCTTTCTCAAAGTCTGTGATCCTTGATTCTGGTATCTCAGCAATATCTTCCGCCACAATTTGCTGTTTAATGTGGTCAAAACCCAGCACACAGTTCCCGATAGGATCAATATAATGAGCAGCATCGACTTGGCCTTCCTCACAGATCAAAATCTATATATAAACACAAACAGGTTTTTAGACTTTGCAATCCTTTGTTTATCAATATCCTGTATAAATTAATAAACGACCAGGAGCGCACCTTGTAATCCGCATCCGGTACATCTACCGGCAGACAGTTCTTGACGTTGTAAGCATGCAAAGCGCCTCGTAGCGCAGCATCTGGAAGCACATGTGCCGGTATTAGCTTTGCCACATCTCGTAGCACCTCATGAACTTGTCCGGGAGGACTCGCTAGCAAAAATCGCTGCGCAATCTGCAACTTTTCTTCATCGGAAGCTTCCCATTCTTCCGCCATCTTGTCCCTCGTACAAACTATATAAGAAATCACGGGATTTGTAGATGTACCTCCTCCTATCCTCTATCAAAAGCTCATAAATTAAATCTTACAATATCCGTTTAATACGATTTCTTTATTCGGTACATCACAATTTCTGTCTCTCTCTCTCTCTCATTAAGAATAATATACCAGCTGTTATTCCAGACAAAAGATGGAAACACCAAGTGTTCGTGTCTTGGTCGTGGGGGATTCTGGAGTGGGAAAAACTACATTTTTACGATCACTTTGTCGGTCCCAGTCACTTACTGTATCAAATCATGATAAATCAAGTGTATGGACCACTGGATGTGATATTCACGTGTTGTTAAAATCTCTCGGGCCTTTAAATCGTGAAATTTTCGTGGAATTTCTTGATATTGGAGGACATTGTCGATATGAACTTAGTCGTCATGTTTTCTATCATGACGTCCATGGCGTCATGTTTGTTCATGATCTGAGCAATGTTAAAAGTGGAGAACGTTTACGCAATTGGAGTCGAGAGTTAAATAGAATTCAAAGACTGAAAGGCTGTATCGTACCTTCGAGTGGAAATGAATACGATTTTCCGACGTTGCACGAATTACCGAAACTTGTCGTCGGTAACAAAAAAGACTTGCTTTCGATGAATTATCGAACGAAAACGATGGGACCAATGGGGTTTGCAGAGTTTCGTACAGTTTCAAGCATTCAATCGGTACGAGATTGAAAGATGGGGCAGGGGAAATGTGCTTTACTTTTTGACTAATGGTGTTTTTTTGATTGTGGTAGAGTGTAGAGCCATTGTCGATAGAACCGAGTGGTGCTTTTGATACTTTCCTACAGCAGACACTAGCATTTGCTAATCGAGGAGATGGCAGGAATAGCTACAGCAACGACAATTACAACAGTTTGGGACTTCGACAAACGGCGAACAGAAATGTTGACCGAGATAATAATGGGAGATCAGAAGTTAGTGATTGTGGGGTAGCGATGCCACCGCTATCGACGGGTTCAGGCAGTACTCGCTCTCGTTGGTGGTAGATGACGGGGAACTCAGGCTATCGTCATGTTCATTAAAAAACTACAGTAACATTAGATACGGTATTGCTGCTATGATACGACTTTGGCTAGCTCGACTTCAGCACGATACGACATGCTTTCAGAATGTCACGCTACTTATTATCCAGCTTGTCTTTTGTCAGTTTGACACTCCCTTAACAAGATGGACCCTCTTTCTCATTGTCTCGTCACTAGCTCAAAATTCAACCGAGCCGCGGTTATTATAGGACTCATTATCCTCCCTGGTTGGTCTGCCTGATGACGCACTGCTGTTTTGCCTCTTAAAATCACTGCTACCTGGCCCAAAACTACCCGAATCTTCAAACTGGTCGTTAAAGTAGTCACTACCAATTGAGCGGCTAGAACCGTGTGAGAGGGCGTTTCCAAGCACCGTCGACTTGGTGTTTTCGCCTTCACGATCAAGTGTATCAATACTATCGCCACTATGGAGAGAAGACGACGGTGACGAGAAGAATGAATTCGCCAAGGTCGACGAGTTCATAGACATGATATTGCTCGTTACCATTTCAGAACGTCGTGCCGGCCCCGAAGCGTACGAGTCCTGGGCTTTCAATGCTCTAGACATGGCAGATGTATTTACTGCATCTCCAGTTTTAGCCGATAAATATGGAACATCCGTCGATTCCACACTGATACGTGAATGCACCATATCGTTCGTGTCCGCTAACCGTAAAGCATCGATTCGAGATTGTAACGTACTTCTTGAAGTACCAGATTCTAAGCCAGTACTCGATCGAGTATCCAATGGATTGGCTAGTGTTTGTGTGTTTGTTGGCATTGCTATTGGCGCTGGAATCGAGCTTTTTGTTTCACGATCGTAAGGTGATTGGTTTTGCCATCGAACTTTAGATTTCCTATTGGCTTTGGCCGTTAATGGAGATTTGACCGACATGAATGGAACTTCATCCGTACCTCCACCTCTTGGGTCTAGATCATTACACCGTATATTGTCCGGATAGTGAGAACTTGTACGGACATCAGGTGCATTGCGACTTTTGGCGTGATCCGCATTGTACCACTTTCGTGGTTCCTGATACTGCTGACCCGTCGCTTGACCTTCTTGTTGACCCGGTTTTGCAAATTGGTGGGTATGTAATTGTGAAGAATGTTCTCGGAACCCATTAGCAGCTACTTGTGGTCCGGGGTTTTTTCGTTTCGGTAAAAGTGCAGTAGTAACCTTTTTTGAGTAACCGTAACCTGGTTGGTGCCCATTTGTGAACCCATTATTGTTGGCAAATGTAACGTCTAGAGGTTGTTGGGCTTGTTGGTAGCGCTGCTGCTGTTGCTGCTGTTCAGCACGCTCACGTCCTTGTCTGAGTCGTTGACGAGCTTGTACTGAAGCAAGAGCCTCTTCGTGACCTTTGCGCTTAGCACGTTGCATGCACACACAGCAGCAAACCAGCAATAAGAGGAGGAGGAGTGCGACACCACCAATAATCAACCACCAGACCCAATCATCCAATCCAAATGCGCCCTTAAACATCGATTGTCCACTCGCCATTGTGATGGCAAAGTAGGAAAAAAATGTCGTCTTCTGGCCAAGGAGAGTCTACAAGTTGAATAGAGAAATGACCGTCTTCGTTCTGGTGCAGTGTGATTATGGGCACTTTTTTGCGATTTAGGGACGACTTGAATTTTGGGATAAATTAATTAGAGTACAACATTTTGAGCGTTGTGATTGGTGGAGGAACAATACATCCGAGTATATTTCTAAAATTTGACTCTTTCAATAGGTATAATTAGGAAAAATATTGCGATATACAGCGGCGCGTTACTACCTAGAAACCGTCTGGAAAACCTGCAACCGATATCAAAAATGTATGGCTCAGTAAATAAGCTTAACGGATACATATATTCTTGGATGCAACTATTTCATATGAAGATATCTTCAAGAAGGCCACTTACCTGTATCAAGATGGGTTGTCTTAGGTCCGAAACTGGCTTCATATGTTGAGCACTTTCGGAGATAGAGCGAGAAGATTCGACAAAAAAGATGCGTTCGTCATTGACAGGCGACTCTGCTGTTTAGCAAGTACTTTCAAGTACTGAAGTAGGTTAGTATGCAGAATGACAGTATACACGATCAATTGTATAGCGCCTCATAGGCCCATAACGAGTAAAATGAATGCATTTTTAATGCCAAGGGGCGGCTAAGACGCTCTGGCCTTGTGCCATCAACCTTCTAAAACACTTACTGCCAGACTTTTTTGGGCTTCCAGTGGAAGTTCTCGTACAGACGTAGCAAGTTGCGTTCCAGCATAGCCACTGTGACCTTCCCAACGAGTGGCACATACTTCACGCCCTTGATCTTGAGCAACTCAGTCTCGTCGACGTTCTTAAAGGACGCGACGTTAATGACAACCGTGTTCTCACTTACCCACTCAAGCGGTAGCTTGTAACTCTTTACCGGCACGCCAGTAATGATAACACGAGACTTCTTGCACGCCGTTTCCTGCGTCTCCTCACTTGGAATGAGTTTACCGCGACGGAATAGATAAAGTGAGTCGATGTCGGCGCTGTAGACATCAGCACCGTCATTGGCAAGCATAGCAGCCAATGGACGGCCCACAATGTCACTGCGGTTGATCACCGTGACACTAACACCTTCGAGATGGTTACCAGTAGGTTTTGACTTGTCGTAGATGCCAATGTGTTCCAAGATCTTGACAATGGCCAAAGGGGTGCAGGGTAGCACACACTTTTGTGTCTCCTCTTCATCCACATAGCGGATGTTACGGTACAAATTGCCCCGGTAGAACTGACATAGTCCTTCCACATCTTTCTTGATGTTGATGCTATCACGTAGAAAATCGTCCATTGTGCCACCGAAAAAGCTCGGAAAGGGACCAAAGCACGGGTAGTACACTAAGATTCCGTGCACATCCGGGTCATGATTGGCATTCTCTAAAGCTGCAAGGAGCTCATCCTTGGGTACTTCACGCAGCTCGTAGCGGATACCGTCACGTGCACAAGCTTTACCTGTCCACTCGGCGTATTTCTTGGCTGCAGGGTCACCGTGGGCCAATAAACCCACGAGTTTAGGACCCACTCCATTCATATCATGCTCAATGTATTGACGTACAGCGGAGCTGAAAGGGTCAGCAATAGTTGCAGCATTAAGCTTTACACCTGCAATGGGAACAGCACTACCATCGTCGCTCATTTTCTGCTTTTTTTACGAATGGCTACATGACGGTTCGTCGGTAACGGATGTACCAAGGAAGTGGTACATTTATTTAATTTTGTGTAGTAATATATGCCTCATTTGATTCTTATCATTAAAAAATTGACTTTATCAATTATGTCGAAACCGCGAAGTTAATAAAATTTAAAGTAGAAGCAAAAAAATTATTATACCAACACTAGGGTGTGTGCCCGTCGTTCCGACGGGCATGGTGCGCACGGACCGAATATATAGATTAAATGATGTTTTGAGGACCGAATGTTGTTTTATTCTATGTGCGCCACCCAGCTCTTTTATGCTTCTTTTAGCCTGTGTGCAGCTTTTTGGTGCTGCCCGTCGTAACGTACGCGAATTCTACATATTAGCCCATCATTTTACCTCAAAATCTCCGGTTGACTCAACTTAATTGATAAGTATAAAAGTCAATAAGTAGGAGTTTCATTGTGTACCCGTCGCTCCACGGGCCATTGTGTACTCGTCGTTCCGACGAACATGGTAATAAGTGAAGTCTGCTTTTAAAAATTAATATTTACTTGATTGATACATTCCATTTGATATTTGTAATCATCTTTTAATATAGAATATCCAACTTACTCTAGCAAAATGATACGTATGATGCAAGATATGGGGTAACTTACTTGTATTGGAACTAAATCCAGTTTAACCTAGTGACAACGCTTGCTTTTACCACATTTAGTGTATTATTAAAGCATTTAATTTATGTTTTGAAACGAATCGAAAGCGTGTGCCTAATCTAATATTCGGAAAAGGACTATGTTTTATGTAGCAATATGTAATGATGTGTACCCATCGTACCGTCGATGTATCGTATGATAAAGTACGAATACGAACACCTAGGATGATTTATATTCTGTTATGCAAATCTGCTTGGGTTATTATTATCAATGCAAAATGCAAAATCAGCCTATAATGTAAAATTAGTCAATCTTGTGACGAAGTACAAGATGTCGTGTCCCTGATTCTAGGTGGGACATCGAACAGTTAGTCGTATGATGCTGGGACGCATCGTTACAGTTGACAGTTGAGGTGTACCTGTTGGTATCGACTGTAGTCTAGTCTAACAGAGGGGGTTGTCACCTACGAGGTTTTTCCCTCCTGAATCCCAAAAGTTGCTCAGTGGGAAGCAAGTGTTCCGTGTTCTCTATTCCCTACTCTGTATTACTGTATTACAGAACCAACGACACTCACCTGCGCAGTGATAAGTGTGACAGGTTATGAGCCCAAGTCTTCTTGCACTGTCCAAGTAACAAGTAACCTATTAACCAAGGTCTGGAGTAAGTGAGATGTCGTCAAACGATACAGCCACTAGTGATGTGTTGACGAGCGTGAGTAATGTTGCGACCGCTGTGAGTACTGTGAAGTCTGGTATTGCACCTAGCGGATTGAGTGGGGGTTTTACCACCGCAACCGCGCCACCGGCTATCCCATTACCTGGATCAGGATTTCCAGCGGGAAGGCCTAATGCAGGTGGTTCATTACCTGGAGCTGGTGGGATACTTGCCCCTATACCTGAAGTGAATCCGCACTTTCTTAGATACTGATCCAGCATTTTGTACCAGATACGAGGTGCTTGACGTAAACCATATAGACTTTGTAACAGCTTGCAAACGCGACCAGAACCATCATTAAAGTAATCGGGCTGTTCCATATAGATATCTACATCATCGAAAGGCCCATTCAAAAACGCTGTCACAAAATCAATTTGGCGACAAGGCAGGCCCAAGAACAGAGCTAGAAGCAAAACAAATTTCACGGACTCAGCCTTCGCTACTGGAGCGTAGGTCTCCCAAAAGTTGACACCAAACTCTTGCTGGCTTCCCTTAATCGTAATTCGCGTGCGATACCGGCACACGTCGCCTTGCGCATTTCGTTTGCGCACAAATATCCACTTATTCTTTAGAATCTTTACCCCCGAAGGCCGATCCACTAGCTCCCATACGTGGTTACGCATCAATTCATGATACTCAGTCTCAAGAGCTTTTATCCATTGCTTTGCATCCGGGGCACTTAAAGCTTCGGTAACGGACATGGGCTCAAGCAGTTCATTCACTGCTTGAATTACCAATGCTGCAGCAATATTCAGCTCATAATCCGATAGACGTACATTTTGTCGTCGTACTCGGGTAGACCGCCGAAAAGCCGCCTCGAGATCTTTTTCAGCTTTCATTTCACCGGGTCTAACAATAACCGGTCTTTTTACTTCTACTTCTTCTTCCTCAAAAGGTGTGGGAGTCTGTCCCATATCACTCATGTCCATGTCCAGGTAATCATCGTCAGCACCGAGAGCTGGCAGGCAAGTCGAAGGCACAGAGCCTCGGCGGTTAGACCGATCTCCAGTGTTACGACAAGGGGCAGGCATACTGCGGTTAGACAAGTCCATGCCTCCTTCTCTGCCGCCTTCTCCTCCATCAGTGACGATGCGATACCAATCGGGACTGTATCCAGCTAGAACACGATCACGACACGACCCCATCTCAGCCTCTGCTGGACTTGCCGTTCAATCACGACACGAACCCATCTCAGTCTGCGCTGGACTTGCCGTTCGATCACGACACGACCCCATCTCAGCCTGTGCTGGACTTGCCGTTCGATCACGACACGACCTCATCTCAGCCTGTGCTGGACTTGCCGTTCGATCACGACACGACCCCATCTCAGCCTCTGAAATTGTGGGATCGTTGCAATATTTAGTCCAATGCACGCGTCCAGATATCGCCAACGCAGTGCGAACGTTGGGCAAATTTCTGAATTGTTATACGAGAGAGCACTATGTCTTGGTAAAAAGAGTGTTCCAATTCCAATGCAAACCCGGTAGAGTTTCCAAAAGTAACTTGCGAAATTTTGTACAAGCCTGAATCAAAGGTATATATAACCGAGAGTCTGTGAGTTGAGTATGAGGTAAGTCGTCATGATGATATGCGAAGATGGCCATGCGTCAGCCACTGGTCTAGTCAACCTATATTCAGCATACTTTGGTACGAAACCATACTTCGCTATGGGACGCGCCTTTGTGATGCTTCGGCACCGCATAGAATGTCTAATGATGATCTCATTTTGTGAGCAAGCCGTTCCGGAAGATCCCTGGGACGTGGATATCGCAGTAAAAAAAAGCGAATTCATATCATCCCTTAGCGAGAAAGGATTATTCCTTGACATCAAACGGTCTCTTTTTTACAAAACGCACTTGGATCAATCGGTGGGATACCAGCGACGAATAACTTGGACAAAAACTAGTGTGAGATATGGTGGATACAAAGTCAAAATTCACAATGGAACAAAGTCGTGAATAAAGACTTGCAACATCACCTTGTAAAAGGGAAACAGACTCGAAAATAACTTGAAAATCGTGCAGTCACCAAACCAAAGATAGACCGAAGACTTGTCGACTAATCGTCAAAAAGGGAAAACGAATCATCGTGAAAATCCCGAACTCATTCCCTACGAAAAGCTTGAAGTTGAAGCTTGTGTAGTGCAAACTCCTGTGATTGGAAGTAAGTCAGCATCTTGTACAATCGCTGTAAATGGAGACGACTCATCGCCAAACACTGGCGAAAGACACCAAAAAATTGAAGAGCCGGAGAATCGTACAGTGCCTTGCTGCGGTTCAACCAAAGAGTCCGCAGAACTACGCAGCGGACAATGTTGAAGAGGCGAACGGCAGTCGCGATCCAAAGTTAAGCCGGGAAGCAACCGGAACTTCAAGTTGATGCAGACAATGAACTTGGGCTCACCCAAGGGCGGAACGAAAAGTCGAGACAACGGAAAGAGGAAGAGATGTTGTCAATACGACGCCTCGAGATGTACCCACATGCCGGTAAGGTATCCGTGTTTGTGACCGCATCGTAAGACGTCACGGAATGGCGTCACAGATTGACTTCATTGCAGAAGCTTTTACAAAAGGATAGGCTTAGAGGTAGCTTTTTGTGAACTAAGGACCTATATGTAATCACTTTACATTTTACCATTAAGCTCTTAAGTGCCTTCTTTTACTTTAAGAGACGCCACAAATGCCGAGTTATATGGCAATCCCATAGAAGGTGAAACAGCGTTTCCGCTGTAGCATATCCATATACACAATTGACTATCGAAGTGAACCAACCGTACTTGTACCGGAAACCAAGCTCATCGTGTTTAAGGCGAAACAAAATTCGCTTTGACCGGCAAAACGTCACGTTGAAGAAGGCGTTTATAGGCCCAGTGAGAGGGGGATAGCGTGATGTCGGGAACCGACCATTGAAAAAGTGTAGCGACGGGGGTTATAAGGCGCGTGATAACTTGGTTAAACGCGTTAACAATATCTTGGCCGTCGAAATCCCAGATGTGAAGCGCACATACCATGTTAAGAGGTGGCAACGGATGGGTGAGAAAGTGGCAGTAATGATGTGGTATTTCAAAACGGGGGGTGGCAAGTTTTGTACCACTGCTGTCACGGAGCGGGCAGGCATAAAGAAAAAGCCAGCAAGAGCATCTCGGTATAGTCGCTTCATCTGGAATCCGACCAAAACTGCTGCAGAAGGAGCTGATGAAGGTAATACCGTGACTGAGGTAGCCGCATGCCTTGCGATGAAGAACTGATAGCGAACGCTTGGCGGCTGTATAAGAAGAAACACATTGTTCCAAATTTGCCAAGTAAGCTTGGTTATCACATGATTCAAACATTAAAGTTTGACTAGAATATTGGTACTCCATGTCGCAATCGCTTCTCGCCAGTAAACTGGCACATTTTTTTATCGAGATGTTTGTGCTAAATGAGACAGGGGGATATAGAGAAAATCCAGTCCTGACCCTTCACCATTGAACGCAATGCAAATCGCTGCTCGGGCGGGGATGAACCACAGAAAGGTCAAGGCGGCAGTTGCGCATTAATTGCCGGATAAGGTTGACTTGAAGTAACTCCGCGGAAGAAGCGACGGAAGGTTAGTCGAGGCCTCCATCAGAAGATGGTTTCGAGAACCAGGCGCTTGAGAATTGCCCGCGTGTAGCCGGGTCGTGAACAGCACCTGAAGGGGTACTGTCAAGAAAGTTCCGCATGAGTGGAAGAAACTGAAGCAATTCTTTTGGCCTCACCGAAACAGCACCCAAAAAGTGCCGTAGAGTCGATAGAATCATGGTTTTTGAGGATGAGCACTCGGCCCTAAAGGGTGCGTGCTCTCCCACGCCAAGAGACACACAGTTTTTAAAAGCGCACAAGAAGCTGGTTCAGTTGAAGGCCCGGTGTGATATCCGGGCCAACTGCAATACTCAAGAGAGTAGTATGTTCTATATTGTCTAGAACCCGAGCACCGAGGCCGCGTAGTTGAACTTGAAGTTTAAGGTCCACATCAGCCCAGGAACGAAAAAGAGGACCGTTTTGTCCACATTAAGTCGCACTACAGAGGCCGTGCAAAAATCATTGACGCGTGCCAGAAAACGGGGAGCATTTTTTAAATCGTTAACCAAGCCCGTGTCATCATCAGCGAAGCTGAGGAGGTGATGAGAGGTGCCATGAATCTTGATAGCCATATCGTCATTCGTAGCCCGGAGGTAGCAGAGAAGAGGCTCTATAAAGAGCACAAATAGTCCGGGAGATAGTGGGTCAGCTTAGCGAACGCCGGCTCCTAATCCAAAAATCGAATTGCGAAGAGTTGGCCTACACCGTTGGACAAGAGTGCCGCGAAAACATCGTAATGCAACGACGAAAATTGTAACCAAAACCCCAATGTTGAAGAACTAAATCCAAATCCTGCCAGTTGACACTGTCGACGGCTTTAGCAAAGTCAAGGCATATGGCGCCAACCGGGCCACTTGCGTTGTTCCGACGACAATGGACCATTAGATCGTAAAATAGCAAAGTGCGTGGCGGATGTCTCGTCCAGGCACGAATCCAAATTGGTCCACCCCCAATAAACTGTTTAGAACTTGATTTAGACGGTACGCTAGCGCTTGGGGTCCAAACTTGGCATCTTGATTCAGCGGAGTCAAAAAGCAATCGTTTCAAGGATCCGAGCGAGAGCCTTTCTTGAAGAAAAGAGAAATATCAGCACGCCGTTGAACTTAGCAATACGGCGTTTTCGGAATTGAGCCGCATACACAATTTCCAACACTTGTGCCCGTTTGTTAGGCAGAAAGCTGGTAATATTTGGCAGGCAAGCCATCTGGGCCTAGGGCTTTCCCACGTGCAGTATGGTGAATTGCGTGGAATAAACTGTTTGCCGTAATCGGCGCATCGAGCATGGCAGTGTGAGTGGATTGAAGCTTCCGAAAGCTATGTTGAAGAATTTCTTGAAGTTTGGAAGAGTCGAAACTTCAAGAAATTCTTCTAGATATTGATATGGCTCGATGGCAAGATCATGAGCGTTGGATCGAAAAATGGTACCCCAATACCGACGATGAGTCGAAAGTATAGTCTCAGGGTCCCGTGACATCCCGGGGGTACGTAATCTTGAGGCGTAAGTCCGCCGCAGCTGGAGCTCGACTAAAATGTTTGAAGATTGTCATCCCATAGTAACGTCCAGACCAAACTTGGAGACCGAGTTTAATTCGCGCAGTGCTCTCAAAAAATCCAAATAATCTTGACGAGATTGGTCGCGCCGAAACCGATTGGAGTCACTATAATCCAACGCAAAGAATTGGGCGCTCTTACGTGAAGCAAAGAGAAGGAGACGAAGCTGTGCAGCTGTCGCCCCTTTTCGCCGTTTGTATTCTTGGCTTAGGTAAATGCGGTCGCGGCGCTTGTGTTCATCCAGCAGACATCGGTTATCACTGTCTGATATCTTGGTACCATGACCTTGTAGTCCTTTGTTTATTCCTTTTTTCCTAAGATAATTTCTTGGGTTCCACTTTTCGGAGTGACATCGTTTTTGGGTTCTGATAGGCTGTACGGGTCGACCCGAAGGCTACAGCGTCAACGATGCTCTTTTTTTGCCTGTTAATATCGCGATAGGTGGCTTTCTCCTTACATTTGCCCAAGTTGGCGTACGGTTGAGGACGTTTGCTGCATATACCTCCGCATATCCCAGTCTCCGAGGGACAATTCGCAACCGAAAAACATACACTGCACCATGCTCATGACGGTGCGGCGCATTTTGCTTTTCCATTAGCAGCAGAGTTGTTGGCTTCAGCTACCTGTCCAGCAATCCACGTGTTGCGGCAGAACAGGTCTAGGGTCTTGAACTCTCTCCCGTCGTTGGGCAGTAATACATGCACCCGTACAATAAATCTCCATTCGAGCCAAACCATATAAATGTTGGAGCATTTTGGCTGCCGCATCCTTAGTTTTAGCCGAGAAAAGTCGGTAATAATTAGACTGATATTCCGCATAATTTACCACTGATGTCTGTTCTTGTCAACCGGCGTAATTAGGCCTTTCAAGTCACTACAATGAACGCTCGGATCACGTCCGCTGGAGCGCCTTCTCCAGTGTCATTTTTAGGCTGTGACGCCTTAGTTTGTTCGCCTTTGGCACAGGTAAGGCAACTTTTTCGTGCATGGTTCGCTCTTCGATCCCATTACGGGGTTCCTTGGTCTACCGCTCCACATCACCGTAATTAATATATATGCCCATAGCGGATGTGGAAATAAAGTAAAGATTCACGATATACTTCCGCAGGTGAAATTGTCGCGTCAACAACCCCACTCTTGCCGTTTTCTTTTGGGTCGGCGTTCTGCACCGACGTCCAATACCAATAAACTGAATTTGGTCCTCACGTACATAATTACCTGTTCCTACTTCATGACTGTATGTCTCGCATGATGCATACTCGAGCTGCAGTCTCTTTTTATCGAACTTTCAAGTGATATGAGGTTTAGCGCTAAATCTGGAGCGTAGCACGCGTTACTCAGGGAAATCCAGTACGAGTTTTCGTCCTCCTGAATGTTTATGCGAGCTGTGCCGCGGCGGATTATTACATCCGGACCCATACGGCAAATAACAACCTTTAGTGTCATCAACATCTTCATAGTCATAGAGCATCGCTTGATCACACATCACATGCGAGCTGCAACCTGAGTCCAAAATTCAGCTGATTTTATCAAGCTCGTCACGCGCTGTGTCCGAAAGAGCCCATCGAGGCTTACTTTTGCTCTACCGTCATCCTTCTCAATTTTCGCAATTTCGGGCGATGGGTCCTACCATACCACAAATCTACATCTTAGAAAATGCTCGCTGCTTCTGCCTTAATGGACCGCTAATCCTTACTCTCTACATCTTCGTACGTTTGCGCCCACTGCGCGATCTCTAGTGCAGGTACAACGTAATATTTGTGGTTCGTGTCTGTCTGGCTTACCATAATCGGCCGCAATGCAGGAGACGTGTGCAAGATCATGATCACCAGGACCATTGCCGCTGACGTGCCAGTATCGTTACTTACAGCCATAAGGTAAAATTAGCTCCCGTGCCAGGTGTCATGTGCACTCTTCTTCTTTCTAAGAAACGCACTTACTTGTGCGCAGTAATAAGACCTAGAATTTGCTGCTCTTAACCCCTTCATGGCATGTGTCAGAGTGGGTCCACTTTCTCACCACTCATCTCTGAGCCCGTTGAAGAACTTTTACACTTCTCCACGCAAACATCCGCCCTTTGCTGATCTTTACCTCATTGCTCATGCGAATCCACAAGACTCTTCATCCATATTTATCTCGTCTTCAGACCCCGGCCTTAGTATTTAAATTCAGCTTCAGGTCCGGCATGAAGCTCCTTACTATCAAAGGGCTTCATGCTGATCTTCCCATCTTTCAATGACGGTACCTTTGTCACCGTTCCCATTTGCTCAGGATATTCCCATCTGAAATTTTCCACTTTCGCCTGCGTTCCTCGGTACGCTGCTGATACGAAGAGCTTGCATTTTACTTCTTCCGCTCCAAAGACCGACCTTAACACTTCTTTCGTCCTGCTTTCAACGGTGGTACACACCCTGCCCATGCTTGAACGACCCCTTCCCTCTGGAGCTCCCGTTCTTCGGCTTCCTTAATTTGTTGCTTTACTTGTGTTGCCGTAAGGGCGAATTCTTGATTGGTCTTTCTCAGCTTCTGTACTTCTTCATTTAGCATAGCTTTGCGCTCAATCTGAGCGCATTTCTGCTCTTCTACGGCCGCTCGATACATGACAACACTGGCTTCCCGCTTCTTCACGGCTTGATTTTGTAGCTCGTGCTGGCGTTGTATCTCATCTCGCTCTTTCACGTATCTTAATGGCATAATGACCATTACTCGTGCTTGTGCGGTAGCCTGTCCCTCAATTTGAGCTTTTTGCTGCGCCTGAACTTCAACTTTTACCTGCATGTGGTTCTCCGTTCGCTCTCCCGCCTCTCTGTACGATCTTAGCTGCTCAGCTCGCAAACGCGCCTGCACTTCATCCTCTACTCGAAGGTGTTTCTCCGTCTGCCTGTACTCGTCGTAACGACGTTGCTTTTCTTGCCTAAGCGCGCCGCTGTGTAAAGATGGCTCGGAAAGATACCAGAGCTGGAACAGCAAATGTTGACGCTCTCGGCGCCAAAAGGGGATAGCTCGGGCCCGGAGAGCAAGCGATGGCGAAAGCACGTACGCTGGTCGCACTAGGGCTTGTACTCCCCGAGACCGGCAACAAATCGAGAATTTAAGTCAAGAGTGCTACTATCACCAAGGCCTTAGATTATTCATAACCTTCTTCACCTTCTTTCGTGATTTCATGATCTACAGCATTACAGTCACAGGTATATTAACACAACTGCACTTCTATACATCTCATTCTGGTATTAACCCTCACGGGAACAATACACATTCTTCTTCTAGATAGTCCTCTGCCAAGTAGTTCTGAGCCCAGAACCACTTCCCAGAGTTTAAAAGAAAAAATCATGGACCCGCTGGTCGATGACAATGACAGTCCAATGCCTGAGAGCCATCTCACTCGATCCAGACCTTCCTCATCAGATACTTACCACATCAGCGAGCCAAGAAAACGCCTCTCTCACGCTCGCGGGCCCGACGGCACTCACTGAAGCAGCATCAGTAAAAGTAGCCACAGCTAAAGGAAGCTATGATTCAAGAGCTGGACTAGTTGTGTAAGAATGGTACATGGGAGGAAGCGGTCACACCACCTGGGGCCAAGGTCGTGTCAACAAGATAAGTCATTAAAAACAAATACAAATCGAGGGGAGAACTCGACAAGTTTAAGGCCCGGCTCGTGGCAAGAGGATTCACCCAACGCTATGGTGTCGATTTCAGCGAAACATACTCTCCGGTACTCAAAATGTCAAGCGCGCGATTTCTTATTACGCTTGGGGCTCAGTGGGGCTATAAATAAAGCCATGGTGATGTTCCTAACGCCTATCTTTGTGCACCGATTGATCGTCCGATTTACGTGAAATTACCACACGGATCCTGAGACGAAGGAGCAGTTTATCGATTGCCGAAGATCCTTTAAGGATTAAAACAGAGCGGACGACTTTGTAACGACTTGATTCATAGCTTTCTTCCCGAGTGTGGTTACACACAAATCCGCCAAAATCCGTGATTTTTTTAAACATGAAGCCATCGGCACTACAGTTGTCGGCCTTTACATCGACGATGTCATTATAATTGCACAGGATGACTCCCTATTTGAGAAATTTATGCAACAGCTCCACGACAAATTTGACATCAACGATTTGGGATCAATCAGAAATTGCCTCGGTATTAATTTGGAGACAACAGATTACGGCTACTTTCTATAAAAGCAGCACAACATCAGCGCTCTCCTCGACAGGCTCGAAATGACGAATTGTACTACCCGTTCGACGCCAATGGAAGAAATACACAAGCTATACGATCCAACTCGAGCCTCTTCTCAAACAAACGACTCTACCAAGAAGTTATGGGGTCATTATTGTGAATCTCCAACTGCACTCGTCCCGATATCAGTACGACCGTGAATCTTTTGTGTAGAGCGACCCACGCACCCACCAACAAACACTGGAATTATGTAAAGCGCCTCATACGATACCTCAAAGGCACTTCGACTCACGGCATTTTTATCAAGAAGCTCAATTCGGTTCAATCGCAACCACGCCTGAGAGTCTCCAGTGACGCATCATATTCCGATTCCAAGCTAGACGCTAAGTCCACGACCGGTGTTCTCCTAACAATGAATGGTTCGCCTATATCGTGGTATTCCAAGAAGCAGCCCTTCGTCGCATTAATTACCATGGAAGATGAGTACATTGCTGGTGCAACAGGTGTGAGTGAATGTCTCTGGGTGAAGGATCTCCTGTCGGAGCTTAAACTCACAGCAAACCACGAACCACTTTCGCTAATTGCTGACAATTAAGCTGCAATCATGAACATGGGGAACAGCGTCAGATCACCTATCAGCAAGCACATTAACATCCGGTTTCATTTTGTTCGCGACAATGTACATGCCAAGCGTGTCACGGTCCACTACTGCTCGACATCAGAAATGCTTGCAGACATCCTATCCAAACCACTCGGCCGTATCAAGCATGACCGCTTCACCAGATCACTGCACGTCATGAGTCGAGATGAGTTTAAGGTCATCAGCTAAGCCCTGCTTGACTTGCGGGGGAAAATTAAAACTTCAAGTCAACAGTGGTACTATCACCAAGGCCCCAGATTATCCATAACCTTCTTCACCTGTTTAAAGTGTCTTTAAGCGCGTTCTCGCCACCTACGCTTCTTCTTAGTCACCAACCACTTGATACTAACCTGCATCCATGTATAGCAACATCAGTCTAATCTCGATTTTGCTTGCTCTTGATTAAGTCGTCCATGGCGCGAGGATCCTCGAAGTATGGCGTCAACTCACACATGCACGTCGACTTAATAAGTAACAGGCCACACATGTAGCGACTACATGTCGGGTAGTTGTCACAATTAAATCGGTTGATGGAGACTTTGGTCGAGCCAATGTGGGCAGAGCTCATAACCTATAAACTTTTTTACTTGTGCAGAAGAATGTATATTTCTTAAACATAGGTCTTTACACTTTCTGCTTGCACCCACATGGTGCATGTCTGCATATAATTATTAGATGTGTCCTGTAGCGGAGCTACACACCTCATTAGTTAGAGGAAGGCTTTAAGGCTGAAAGCCTCATAATTCTATAGAAATATTAGAAGTTTTGTCTAAAAGCCACTTAGTTCTAAGGAACTATATAAACGATTAAGAAGAAGCCACCCTGTTCTAAGAAACTATGAGGACTTCTAATCTCTAAACGAAGCAATAGCATAATGTATAGAGAATCAACGCACAGAGTGCAAGAACAAGCTAGAATCTTAGAGGTTCAAAGAATCTACGCACGAAGTGCACACGAGAACAAGTCTTATCGAGACTCGCGATCTTAAACTCAAAATGAGAACTGATTTTATTTATGAATTAGATTTTGTGAATAATTCGAATCTAAGTACCCTACACTAAATTTTACTATTATAGTAATTATAGTATGCCACCGTCTGTATCTGGATATGGAATCATACAATTTTCAGTGTATAATGTACTTAGTATTACGGTATCAAGTATGGAACTGATACCGATTTTATAAGGTATAACTAATACCTTATAATATCATTCATCTATATAACCCCTTTTATAAGGATCGGTATTAAGAATGCATAATATGCAATAAAGGGAAACTTCAACCGTAATGTACTTTCGGTATGATGTTACAACCTTCACGTAACCCCGTTACACTCTCCCCCATCACATTGAAGTTCCCATAGAATGTCATATAACACATTATCTCTTTGAGGTAGTGCTTTAGCGATCGTTAAATCTTACGGTTGCCCACGGCACACATGACGCCTCCCGGCATTGGGTAGCATACTCTTCGGGATCTCATCGAAGAAGAAGTTGATTATGACAGTGACAATGTCTTCTTGGGACCCGATGGGTCCCTTTTAACCACACTTACGTTTGAAGTTGACACTAGTCATGCACCAAATCCGCTCCCTCAACGTGGTGCTGCGGATGCGCTTACAGCGTTACGTGACCCGCCTAACGTACCGTCAACGACAATGGTTATTAACTCGCTCTACGGAGCATCAACAACAGACCATTGACCAATAGGAAGGCACAAAGCGCCGGTCGTATAATATGGCTAGACTTCAGTTCCACTAACTAAAAGTTCATGACACTCTATGTAGAGGATCACCTTTAGGAGGTATCTGGTCAGATCCTATCAGGATGGGCCATTGGTCCTGAGGCCACTTTGCCTGAGGATGTCGTTACGCGAACGGCTTTTCGACAGCGGTACATGGAAACCCACACCACCACCACGCAAAGCCATACTTGGCACGCCTCATAGGCAAGTACGTCCCTCCCATTAAGGGTGTTGCCATCCTTTTATTCGCGGAAGAAACCGAGGAGAAAGAAGATAAGGCTTTTAACTGCTGGGCACACTATGCGCGACGCTTGAGCAGCATGTGGTGCATCACAGAATTATAAAAAAATCGCGGCTTTGATAAAGAGTCCGGCGAGTTATGAGTCGCTTTTCCAGGATGGCAAGCGAGAAGATGCGACCGTTTGCTTAGCGAACGGCAAGCTCGTAAAATCGGAGGGAGTTCAAGTTGAAATCACCTTCAGCTTCAGTGACTTTTCTTGTAAAGAGAAGTTCACAGTGCTAGGTATAGAGAGTCCATATGACCTCATCCTAGGCATACCTTGGTTGGCTAAACACCAACCATGGATTGACTGGCGAACAAGCACATTCGATAACTCTACGCAAGACACCAGAAAGGATGTGCTTCTGTGAGAGGGTTATGCATTTAATGCTGGGTCCAACACATCGAGGTTACGATGATGATACACCAGGTACTACCCAGCTCGAAAAGAGCGGTGTAGTTGAAGTGTCCTGACAGAAAGTCAGGTGACACAAATTCCTACCCAGCTCGAGAAGACTGGTGTAGTGAATGGGACGATGACAAGTAACGATGCGTACAATGGTACTGCACAGAGCCGAGAGCCTGAGGCAGTTGATGGTGGGCTGACAGGAAGTCAAGCGCCACAAGAACCGGCACAGAGCCAAGAGCCTGGTGCGGTTGGAAGGAGTGCGCTGTCTATAACAGCAACGAAACCTTCTTCCAGGTCAAAGGTCGTGGTGACTCGAACAGCGAGCACCAGACGTATCAAGACGATTAAGAGCACGTCGAAACGAGTGACCCTTGGATCAGTCTCGGTCCAAGAGGACGGACCTACGAACGAGTTGTTCGAGGCCGTCGAAGACAAGATGCCGGAAACATCCTCAGTTGAGGTGCTCCAACTTGTCTTGGCATCTGCCCGAGGAGATAGTAAATCTCTTCGAGATGACGTGG